TTTTTTATAGTGTATAATTATAATTTATAAAAAAAATAAATATTTTAATAAAAAAAATAACTAAGCGAAATAAAATAAAAAAATGAAAAAGCAAAAAAATGAATGTTAAAATAATTTTTTTTTAAAAATGATAAAATAAATGTGGATAAAAATACATGTGGAAAAGAAAAAAAAAAGGAAAAATATAAAAGGTAAAATTAATTGAAGGAAAAAAATGTAAGAAAAACGAAAAAAAAAAAAAGAAGTATAAAATAAAAATATTTAAAATAAATGTAGAAAAAGTAAAAAAAAAAAAAAAAAAAAAAAAAAAAAGGAGGTCGTTATGGTCCATAACGACACAAGGTCGTTATGGTCCATAACGACCCAAGGTCGTTATGGCCCATAGTGACACAAGGTCGCTGTGTGCCCTAGCGCCTCTGGTAATCCATAAAAAAATATATACAAAAATTTTCTTTATAAAAATGCTATTTTTTTTAATCTAAACTTTTTTATTTAAATTTATCTTAAAGTATAGTATTAATTTATTTTTGGTTGACTGAACTATTTTGAGTTATTTTTAAAAAATCTTGTTTTTTTTTTAAATTTATAAAAATATTTTAAAAGATCAACTCTTAAAATAAATATATTTTAAAATATTATTTTTATTTCTATGAAAAAAAATAATTTATTATAAAATTGAGCCATTTTAAATAATGAAGGAGCTGATAACGACACTAGTAAAGTCACTATCGCAGGTAGCGACTTTTAGGTGGCTAAATTCAGGCCGTTCTTAGTTACAAAAAAAATTACACGTGGCACTGGTATCGCTATGGACCATAGCGACACTGTAGTAAAGTGTCTCAAGTAGGGGTGGGAAAAAAAACTAAAATGAACTGATGGTGAACTGTACTATAAAAAACTGAACTGTTTGTAAAAAAACTAAACTGAACTGTTTAAAAAAAACTGAACTGTTGTAAAGTTGAACTGTACTGAAGTATAAAAACTGAACTGAATTATAAAAATTGAACTATTTTTATAAAAGAATAAAAATTAAATGTGTCTATTATGTTATGTCTTAATGAATTAGCTCGATAATCTAATAACCAAAACTTTGGAAAAAAAAGTGATCTGAAAAAAAAATTATATCAATTTTGTCAAATTTAACGGATCAATTGAGCTATGTTGAACTACTTATTTTTAGGCTTAAAATTCACTGATTTTGTTTGACTTAATTTTATATTTTTTTTCCTTTGAAAAATTTAAATAAAATGAAAAATAAAGTAAAGTTAGCAAATGTGTTCTATTTTGATAGATCAATGAGTCAAAATTGTTCAATTCAAAATATCATAACAGTTTAGTGCGGTTTAAATTGGAGTTTAGTTCAAGTTTTTATAATATAGTTCAGTTCAATTCAATGATACAAAAGAATAGTTCAGTTCAGTTTGTCTAAACTAATATTTAGTTTAATTCAGTTCATATAAACTACTTTTAAGTTCAGTATAATTTTTATAAGTTTAGTTCAGTTCGTTTTGTCCACCCCTACTCTCGTGTAAGGGTATTACTGCAACAATAGAACCCATCGTATATTCCTCACAATTCACCATACATCACCTCAACCAAACACAATAGTTTTTGTTAAATCTTCTTTAATCCATCTCCCTCCCCACAAATTCCTCTTATATCACCCATCCTCCCCCAAACACAATATTTATGATTATTTTCAGTGAGAGAATTTGTAGAGATTTTTTTAATTTTTTATTTAATTAAATTTTTATTTATTATAATTATTTATGAATTAAGTATTAATATTTAAATTTTTTTTGTTAAACATGAAAAATAAATATTTGTATTTAATATATAAAAGATAATATTTTATTTTTATTTGGAAATTAATTTTCACGAAGAATATCTTGTTAAATTTTGTTTAAAAATTATATGTATATATATAAATATAGTATTTATTTATTTATAAATTTTAATTATATTGTATATAATAAATATGTTTGTGCAATATACAAACTAAAATACTAATATATATTAAATACAAAATAATGTAATTTAAAAGTTATTATAAGGATAAAGTTATGTATATTAAATCAAACTATTATCTTTATAACATATTCTTTATATATATGTTATAGATAAATTATATCATATATATATATATATATATGTTTATGTTTTTTATTTTTTCTTAATATGTCAAGATTGTGTTATTTTTATTATATAAATAAATAAGAATTAAATTAGATAAAAAAAAATTAAAAAATTGTACAAAGATATTTTTTTTTTGGAATAAGACAAATATTTGTATTTAATATATAAAAATTGATATTTTATTTTTTTCTATTATTGGGAAAGTAATGAAGAACTTTTGTTCAAAAAATTTGCAACTAATGCTAAATGCAAATAGCAAGGCTCTTGAAAAAGAGACCACGAAGTGAATTGGGCCATCAGATACATTGACAAAATCCTATATGAACTCAGCATTATCCAACTTCATCTTCTACTTGGCTTCCGTCACTTGTTCTCCCAACGCAAACTCTCCATCCATAGAAGAGGTTAAAGAGACGGCACCGTTTTGGTCCTCAACTTTGCCATGCAAAACTCTCAGTTCCGTACACCAGCATCATCAGCAATGGCCCCCAAACCTACCAAAGCAGAGAAGAAGATTTTCACTAAAGGTGATTTGAAGGAGGTCAGCGAGGAAGTTGCTTAGTACAAGCTAAACTCTTCTTTGCATAGTTTTTAATTTTTGTTGTTGTTCGGTTGATTTTTTCCGTCATGCATGCAGTGCTTGATAAATTTGGTAATGATAATGTTGCTTTGCTGCCTGTGGTTTTATTACTGTATTTTTCAGTCACCATTAAATTTTTTATGATGACTACTTAGTTAGGGTTTAAGGATGGATGTTGTTTATAGTGCTCTGATTTACCTTTTCGCGAATGCAAGGTTCTAATCAAAGGTTTGATTCCGGTAATTTGTTTCAATCTTGTGTTTTATGATTTGATAGTCCAATTTGTTAGGCCAAGTTACTAAGACCGTCAAAGTTGTGTTTTGCATTTCGTTGGCTTGTTGTGTTACATTTTATTAGTTTTCTTTTGCTATTTTGACTTGTTTATTTTTGTTGCATTATTTGAATGTTCATCCATGTATTTTTGGATGTGCTTGATTTTTTTTTAATAATTATTTTATGAAACAATATTTAATAATTATTTTTTTTAGAGTTTAGCAGCGGAAAAAAGAGTGTTTTATGGAACGCCAAACAATTGAAATTTGGTCTTATATTTAAAAAAAAATGGGAAATTGTTTAAACAGGTCATAAATATTGTTTTGGAATGCTTATTCTCTATGACTATATTTTAAAATTTGGAAATTATTTAAACTGTTGCTCAAAGAATGATTTTGTAAAACAATTTTATTAAATATAATTTTTTTATTTTCAAAGCAAGAAACAAAATGGTCATAATCATTGTTGTTTTTATGCTTATTACAATTTTAACAAAAAAAAGTCATATACGACAATTCTCTTATTACAGGTGCTGAACATTCCTACGAAGATTCACAAGGGTATTATGGAAATCATTACCCCTGTTGAACTTATTAAGAAGGGAGACAAGGTTGGCTCTTCTGAAGCTGCCTTGCTTGCCAAGCTTGGCATTAGGCCCTTCTCATACGGGCTTGTGGTCCTATCCGTTTACGATAACGGTTCTGTATTTAGCCCTGAGGTTCTTGATCTTACTGAGGATGACCTCATTGAGAAATTTGCCGTTGGTGTCTCAATGGTTTCGTTGGCTATCTCATTCCCAACACTTGCAGCGGCACCACATATGTTTGTTAATGCCTACAAGAAGGTAAAGACATGGGATGTTTGAGACTTGCTCCGATCTATCACCAAATTGACACAAATTAAATAACTTAAGTATAAATGTTGTTACAAGTAAACAAAATTGTAGCAATTAAAACTCACATGCCAACCAACTGAGATTTTGTTACCAGCATCTCCTTGCCCATTCTGAACCCATAAATTTGAAAGGGTGATTTGATCTGTCCTATCAAGTTTTGGATTATAAATACTATTTGTTCCATTGACTCCATAATAAGGACCAAAACGCGACTTGAGAGATACTTCTGCAACCTACAAAATTCATCCTATTAACCCTTAGATTTGATGTAAATTATAATAAAAAATCATGAACATTTGAAATTTAAGCTTTCAAGAACACTTACATGAATACCAGGAGCTTTTTGAGTCATGATCATATGATCATTTAATAATGATTTTTCTCGAATTAGATCATCTTTTGTGGTTCTCCGAATAGGAACTGTCCCTAATGGACATTTGTCCTTATCAAGCCCAAATATGGATCTAGCTGGTGAAGTCTTCACACTTGTTTTTCCAAAGTTGGGTTTTCTCTGTAATAAAAGAAATAGAAAACAAATATTCAAACTAAGGAAATATAATTAAGGAAAGATTGAAAGTTAATTGTATTTGAGGTAATTTAAAGGAGTGTATACTTGCAACTTATGATTTTTTAATAAAGGATGGTCAAACGCTGGTTGCTTGTTAATATCAATGCAATCAACAATATCCCCAAACTCTGTCTGTAGAATTCAAATTACAACAAATATAAATCAAATTATTAAAGGACTTAGTGAGATTGAGTTCAACAAAAGATATTATATGATGATATATATAAAAAGGATATCGAATACATAAATAAAGGACTTAGTAAGATTGAGTTAAACAAAAGATATTATATGATGATATATAAAGGATATTGAATACATAAATACTCTTGATAGGAGGCTTGTTAATGAGCTTCAGTTGTTTTTCCAGTTCTAGATCTTCTTTGAGTGTATTCTGAATACCATAAATTACATGGTTAACACTGCCAATTATCAAACACAAGACAACGATCAATGTACTGATCATTTTTTACTTTAGATTCTATTGACAATTAAAATGTCTTAAGGATCAATCGCCGTTCGTACTACTTATAAAGATAGAAAATAGTATTTAAAACTCAGTATCCAAAAACTATTAATACTATATTTATGATATAGTATTGAATATAAAGTATTTATTAGTCTTTATTTTTTTTCACCATATATAGTCATTATTATATAGCATTTATTACAAAATATTTATTATAAAGTATTTATTATAAATTATTTATTATATAAGTAAAAAAATCATATATTTTTCTTAAATATAAACAAACTAGATATAATTACTATCAGAATTTCTCTTATTACATGCGACCTTTCATGTGGATTTTACATAAAATTTCATAGGAAACATTGTTTCTATTGTAACACCTAGTTTTTTTTTTTTTT